AATGTCTCTGCACTCTGACTTCTTAGTTCTTGACCTTGGTTAAGCCCAGCTGTGTTTCTTTGGTTACCAGGGTTCTCAAGGTGATCAGAGGACTGATCGCTCGGCTCCTGCCCGGTCAGCTTCCCAACCTGAAGAAGAGCCTTGCCTGGAACCTGTCAGAAAACCCCACCACCGCTCCTCCTCCTCAGCCCCACACCACAACCATCGCAGCGGCACGAGCCGAGGCCTCTCCAGGCAAGAGACATTTGACTCTGAGACTCAGGAGAGCCGAGACTCTGCCTACGTGGAGCCAAAGGAAGATTCTTCCCATGAACACGTGGACCACTATGCCCCACGTGAGCACAACCACAGAGACGAGACCCACGGGGGTGGTGACCACAGACACCGAGAGTCTCGGCACCGCTCAAGGGACATAGATCGAGAGCAGGACCACAATGAGTGCAACAGACAGCGGAGTCGTCATAAATCCAAGGATCGCTACTGTGACAAGGATGGAGAAGTAATATCCAAAAAACGGAACGAGGCTGGGGAGTGGAATAGGGATGTTTACATCCGCCAATGACTTTTGCCTTTTTGTGTTTTTTCCCCTTTGAGTCTTGTATAACAGCACCCTCAAACAAAAGCTTTGGGGTCTACACTGCAAACATGTGACCTGTCTTGTATATTTTGTACTGCTGTTGCTTGAAGAGCAATAGCATGAAATAGAGTATTAATATACATTATTTTTTTGGTAAGTGCTATAGACATCGGCCTGGTACAGCTGCAGTCCTCTGGCTGTAAACTAGACTCTCCAGAAACTGTTTGGGTTAGCTGCCACTTGAACAAAATCTATTGCCATCCAGACAATGTTAGTGTTTTAAGAAATCTAGATGTATCCAGCCATCCAGAAGCAGCACAGATCAAAAGTGGAATTTCTTTGTTTCTCCAGATTTTTAATACTCAGATACCTGATGGGCACATTCAGTCATTCATGGACCACTGTTTTTTGCTTGTACCTCTGGCTGACTAAATTTGGGGACAGATTCAGTCTTGCCTTACACAAAGGGGATCATAAAGTTAGAATCTATTTTCTATGTACTAGTACTGTGTACTGTATAGACAGTTTGTAAATGTTATTTCTGCAAACACCTATTATAATTATATATAATATATATACATATATATGTTTGATCACAATATTTTAGAGTCTTAATGCCAAGTCAGCAGATCTGCTTTATGAATTACAGGGACTAGAGATGCCCACATTCAGGAAATTTGTAATAACATTGTCTAGACACTATCTCCACTCTACTAGAAGGTCTGTACATACTGTAAATATGTGTGATTGCTTGACTTGAAAAAGTTTGATTTCTGAATGTTATACCATCCTTGTAAGTTTATAATTTTAACCATAAATTATGGTAAATATAACCAAATTCCAGAGATTGTTCTACTCCATACAGCTCACACTGATTGTGACAAACACGTTCTTAGTAGCTGGTGTCTGTTAGAGTCACAGCACTGGAACCCGTTGTATGCACGTGCGTGTGTCTGTGCGTAAGCGTGTGTGAATGAGTGGAATGCTGAAGGTCAATGAGGAGACGAGAGACTGAAATGGAGGATTGTGCCCACCTGCTTTGTATGGACTGTGCTGTATGTTGCTTTGATAATCCACTGAGCAGTCAGGGAACGCGAGGAAGCTTGCTGCCAAAGGTAACTAGGAAAGCGTTCATCTGCTGCCTCCTTGTCTTTGCTCCTAGAGAGTAAAAATCCAGGCAATTTGTACTGTGAGTGTCTCACTGGAAATGTACAACCTTTGTGTGTTTGAGTATTTGTTTTAGTAAGAGACGTTTACACAGCTTGTGGAATTATTTCGTAGGAAAATAAATTTTTATAACTTCTCCCACCTCATTTTCTAACCTTGCCTACTGTTCCTGTTGCTCATCTCCCCGTGACCTACTGTTCCTCCCCATCCCCAACCTGACCAGTTTCCCTGTCTGTCAGAACCCAGAAGTGCTGCTTATGACATTTCTGCTCGTCAGATGTTATCAGGGCAAAATGGGGGGACTTGAAGTGAATCAAATGTTAAGAATGTTTTCCTACATGAGACATCTACTGTGAAGGGGAACCTGGAAGACACTATTTCCATTCCTCAATGGCACTGCTATAGGAAGTTTATGACATCATCATGCTGAGACTAAAGCTAAACCCTTCTCCGTGTCTCTTAAGTGTCCGATTATGGCTGGATAGGTAAGGCAGTATTAGATATGCAATTACCTACCACTTGGAGCTTGATCCCGGAAAATGCCTCTCTATAACTGCCTAACTTTCCTGTGTATTGAGCAAAATAATAGTTATAATAATTACTTTTTGTCTTGCTTTCCCTGACTATCCCAGGTTCTTGCCAAATATTCTTGGACTTTTATAAGTAAAACTATTCACATTTAATGATTTCCCCACACCCAAGAAAATAAAGTTTTACAAGTGAGTTATATAGTGTTTACCAGCTAATGTATAAAAAAATTTCCCTCAGAACCAGTTATCTCTGTACCGTAAGAAATTATTTACAGAATATAAAATAATCATTAATTTTGGACAAAGATTTTTGCCCCATCAGGAAACCATAAGCATATTTCAACTAAAATTGCTTTTATAAAATGTTTTGTATAAACTCATCATGAGATGTTGATCATCAGTCCAACCCTTTTCTACATGTTGTTTCATCCTATCTAAATAAAACTAGTATTTATCCTTCTTGCTGCTATCATTCTCTTTCAAAGAGTAGTGCTAACAGAGTCCATCCTTTTAATTCTGTACCTGATTCTTAGCGTCTTTACTGCGGAACATGTTGCTAGTACAAACCAGACTATTCATCCAATAACTACACAGGAGGATTTGATATAGAGCATTTATACCAGTATATGAAAATGATACAGTGGGTAAATGTGTAAATGGTATGTAGTGAATCCACAAAGGAAGAAAGAACCCCCAGGACTTGTGGAATGATATTCAGTCTTTTCACAGAGCTTAACGTATTCAGGTGTAGAAATGTACTTAATGGCTTACGATACCCACCAGTTATCCCCATGCTCTTTATTTCTCATTTAAATTCATGTTACAAAGAGGTGCTGCTAAATGTAGGGTGTCTTAGTCATACTGTACTTGGGGACAACGCCACATTTAACATGGTCTGCTATGCACTCCTATTAAACATTCACTGTCAGCTACACTGAACTGTTTAACAAACCTGGTTTAAAGTCACGCATATAAAACAAAGAGCTGGCTTCTGCACTGTTTATTAGTAGTATTAATTGTCAACTTAGGAATGACCCTTAGATTCGGAATGTGACATATTCTACGTCTACTGCTGGTGGTGTATCTCCCTGACAAGCTATATTAGCCAGCTGACATTCCTTCAGTAATCTTCTTTTTCTAGCTGACTTCGAAAAAAAGAGCTCAAGGTAAGTGAAAGACTTTTTAAAAATATGTGCTACAGTAATCTTTTTCCCACCTTATATGTGCAACAATTTTTTATTCATATTTGGAATTTTACTCATTTTTAAAATGAAGTCCACTCCGATGACACATTTAACTCATCCTTTCTGCTTTGTTCTCATGCATGGGCACTAGTTGTGCATGCTCTAATGTCACTAAAATAGGAGTGTACTGTTAGAGAAAGCAGCCAACTAAGATGGACTCTGGGTCAGTTTTAATTTCTGAAAAAATAAAAGTATATTTTTCATTGTTTGTACTTCGCTTTGCTTCACTTTAAAATGTGACACAAGGTTTTGAAGTAAGATGTACTCATGGTTGAATTTAAGTATTTTTCTGTTCTCCTACAAATATCTATATTAAAAGTAAATACGTAAAGAGACACATTCATTCCCCGTGTTTCCCTGATTTTGCCCTTTAATGCACTTTTCTTACATTTCCGTGCTCCACGAGTATATGTTTCATTTTCTAATTTGTTTACTTTCTGTCACTGTTTCTAGCAGTCAATAGACGCTGCCACAGGAAAGTTATTTTAAGCTGCAAAAGATTCAAGTGATTGCTTATGTCCCTCACTCTGCCTCGGTCCAGTAAGTATCATTTGATCAAAGAGAGGCTGTGTCTACTGTGGCACTTTTGTTTCAAAAATGGAGATGAAACCCACTGAAAAGTGTATTAAAGAAAAAATTTTAACAAATTTTGTTTTGTTTTAAATATGCACATATCTTCCTGTTTTGCTAGCAGTGCTCATAGCTTCATGTTTACTGGTGTTAACCAAAAATGGACAATAATACAAATTTGCTGCCAGGCTGCTTTTCCACTGTTTTCTTCCCAGCCTCGCACATGAGAGGAAAGAGATTTGGTAGTTTCTTGTAATACATTTACAATCTGAGGAGGTCTGCTGAGCTCTGGAAACCGAAGTGCCACAGGTAAACACTTTCTGTTTAGTCAAATGACATTTATTGACATTTACAGGCAGGGTGAGGCATGTAGAGGAATCATCTAAATCTTATGAAGCTTGCAATAACTTTTCACGCATGCTATTAAAAAGAGAAAATAAAAGCTCTCTTCATCCAGGATGCTTTCAGAGCATGGTGGTGGGGCTCCAGGAGCCTGGCTGGTGAACTCACATGGCAGTGTCTTAAGTGGCATGACAGCAGAAGATACGGATACTAGGGGTGTAAGCAAAGCTCAGAGATTGGTATACAAGAAAGGCTCTCAAAAGATCTTATCTCACATACAAGACCTTGCGATCTTATGGCGACAATAAATGGTTGAGATGTTCCTAAAGAAAACCTATGACGGGGCTGGGGATTTAGCTCAGCAGCAAAGCGCCTGCCTGGCAAGCACAAGGTCGTGAGTTCGGTTCCCGGTACCGGAGAAAAACCAAAAAAAAAAAAAAAAAAGAAAAGAAAACCTATGAGGAAAAGAAAGAATCAAACTAGTATTAGGCAACTAATTTAACTGTCCACTTCATACACCCAAGGCCAGGCCAGTAATCTGGGGAACTTGAATGAAAACCAGCAAAACAGTTTGATACGTTTAGTCTTTAATCTGCAAGTGTATTAGGTATTTTAACAGATCTTACCTAAAAAGCAGGCAGAACGGATGAATGAACCCAAGGCTACAATTAATTTTTTTAAAAGCAGACACACTGTCTACCATAGAGAGATGCTTGGCCCTGTTTGTGGCTTGGATGATGTTCCCATTTTGTCTGAGTTTAGATTTGATTAAAAGTGGATTTTTTTAACTCTCATAGACACACAGTCATCGTGTCTGAGGCTGGTGCTCTGAGAAACTTTAACACCAAGGCCAGCTGTGAGTGCCAGGACAGTTCTGAGTCGGCAGAAGCTGCTTTTTCTCATTCTCACTGAGCATTATCTAAAAACTTGCACAGGCATTCTACCATAGGCTAAAAAGCACCCAAAAGTAGAAGATTTTCACTTTCATTTATCTACAATTAAGGAAAATATTCAACTTTCTGGTTTCAAGACTCTCATTTAGAAGAGGTCCAGACTTCATTTAAAAGAGGGGTAACATACAATAAACAGTCAAGTACAAAACTTACCTCAGTTATTGGCACGCGGTAAATATTATACTTCCCAGGCCCCTAGTTCTTAAGAGACTTAGGAACAGAAAACAACTTTCTGTAACCATATTAAATACTAATTTTTAATATGAAAATATTATTCTTTATAAATTAAAACAGTACCCCAAGTAAAAATGTTACAGGTATCCATAAGTAGCCCCTTTTCTTTATACTCTACTGAATTAGTTTATCCCGAATGTAATTTCACAACCCCCGCCCTTACACACAATTCCTCTCTCTGATCACTGGTGAAACCACAGGCAGCCTCCTGTTTCCTTAGCAACCATGCCATCACAAGTTGGCCTGACGACACTTTGGTTTAAGGGTCGTGGAAGGAACAGAACAGAGAACAAAGTTGTGGAATCTTCATTTCTGCAGATCCTTCTCTGGTGTGCTTTTCCATTTTAGAAATTTTGCAATAAAAAAACCTATGCAATCCTTATTCGCCAGCCGGATCATGTCTTCCGCGCTGGCGTCTCTGAGAGCGTCTAGGTCCGTGTCCTGTGATGGCACAGTAGATGGATCGAACCGCTGCAGTTGTCTCAATTGTTCAAGTGATAAGCCAGCTCCCAGCATCCCTTCTCCTCCAATTTGTGGTTCCTATTGGGAGAAAAATAACTACGGATGAATGCTGCCCTGTAGTTAACAGTTAAATTAAAAGATAAACTGAAAGCTGGGTGTGGTGGCAGATGCCTGTAATCCCAGCACTCTGGAGGCTGAAGCAGGAGGACTGCTGTGAGTTCAAGGCCAGCCTGGGCTAGACAGCAGCAAGACCTTGCCTCAAAAAACAAAACAAGATAAATTGGGTCATACCCATCACATCTTCCAAAACAGAAAACTGAGTAAATGCTTTTACTTCTGTGGAATGTACATGCAGCTTGGGAGGAGCAGGGCAGAAAAACAGTACTGTGTGGCCCCCGATGAAAGGAAGACCTTTTACGTCCTACATGCTTATCAGTACTGGGTGACATGACAAAAGACCTGAACTCCACAGTCAGAAACACATGAATTGAAACTGCAGCTCTGGCAAATTTTAGCTGTGTGACCTTAAGCGAGTAACTTTACCTAAACTCATGTTTTAAAATCGTAAAACATAAAATGCTCACTTCTGAAATTTAAAAAGAGAGATGATAGCATGCTTGGTATACAGTAGGAATGCAGTAAATAGAACATTATTATCCATAAACAACAGATAAAAGGCAACTTTACTTCACTCATCAAACTTCTGAAAAAAGTTCTTTAAATATTGAAAATGCCTTTATCTGACCCATGCCAACTGGATGATAAAAGCTTTTTTCATTTGGTTTTTTGTGCCCTTGGAGAACAAATATCAGAAAAGGATGCATAAATTAAGGCTACATCAATTAGCTTTGGACAATATAGAATCCAAACAAATTGGGTAATACTTGCAAACCACTACTGCAAAAGATCCATAATCCTAATTTAAGTCACCATTCACAGCCACATGTTTATGTATTAATAAAGACAGGTTTTCAGATATATACTTAAGAAAACAGTTTGTTAACCCACCGGGTGAGGAAAAGACATTTCTTTCAGGTACAAATTCTAAGTGAATTCTGAAGTCTTCCTTTCATCTGTCACTTCTAACACTAGAAATCACTTCTGGCTTCTAATTTATATACTCTAATTACATACTGGAATTCTGCACTGGAAGTTACTGAAGTTAGACATTCAGTGTCTGAATGAACATTAAGCATTATTATAGATACAAACTTTAAGTATTATGGGTTAAAACTAAATCATAAATAGTGTTAAAAGTCCTAACAAGATTAGATTAGTGCTAAGTATAAGAAAGCTTCTTAAATGTTAGATTTTTATACAATAAACTGCTCCTCACCCCCTTTTTGGTCTTTTACCGTGCCAGTTAGTGAAGTATGTTTGGGCTTTGATATCACCTGAGAAAAATGCTTGATTTTTTCCACAGGAGAAAAATGTGGGACTAGAAAGGAGGAAAAAAGGCTTTGAAAACAAAGTGCCAAGTCCCCTGAACAACAGCTGTTAGTGGAATAAACATGTAATAAAACTCATCCAAGCTCTGTGCCATTTTTGCATAATGGCAAAATATAATGAGGGAAAACAGTCCATCATCAAGATACGCAAATTCCCCTTCCCCTTGGCTGTCTAAAAGAGATCTAAAAGGAGAAATATTCTTGTTTACTACAGTATTTGCTTCAGAAGCAAATTCACATATTTTGCCACGTAACACCCCGTGTTACGTTTCTGTGATTTGTCACACCGCACACAGAAAAACTGAAACTCCTCTTACCTGGGGCTGAAGCCGAAGGCAAGGAAATGTGCCGAGGGCCCAGGCAACCTGCTCTTCGTTTTCTGCCAGGGTTATGGTGCACGTGCTGTAGACCAGCAGGCCTCCTGGCTTCAGCAGCTGGACTGCCTAGAGAGAGCTACGTCAGTCGTGTATACCACAAGGCCCAACAAGTGAAGGGACTTTACAGCATAACGTATGGCACCTTACAAGTATCTGAGAGAAATGAAGTGATGTTCTTCTCTATGGTTAGTAACTAGAGCACAACACTCACGTCCCAGACTAGGTGCATTTCCCTGCCTTAGAGCTCTCGCACTCCATGGACCAAGATTCTCAAATACAACAGGTCCACGCAGATACTGACCTTATTTCAAAAATGAACAAATTTACCTTGCTAAGCCAGACCTTCTTCCTCATTTCCATCTCGTATTCAGCTGCCTCAACACTTCCTGTCCCAAACAAGCTGCTGTCTTCTTTCTCAAACCCACTGCAGTAGTCTTCCCAGGCTTCCCAGACGGCCGGGCTCCAAACCTCAGCTTCCACTTCGTGCCTCTCTCTCGTTGTCGTGCATCAGCAAATCCTATAGCTTCTACCTTCCACACACCCAGACTTTGGCCGCTTCTCACAACTGCCGCTCTTATTCTGGTGCAACCCTCTTTCCTTCTTAGAGTACTCAGACAGGCTCCTACCTAGTTTCCTTCCTTCCTGCCCTCTGCCACGCATTCTCAATGCAGCAGCCAGAGCGCAGCTTCCGTGCTTGCTACCTCTCAGCCCCACGCACTTCCGGTGCCTTTCCACTGCAACCCCGAGTCACAGCCAAAGCCCTCAGAGAGGCTCCAGGCCCTACACAGATGAGCCTTCCTGCCTTCGGACCTCCTCCACAGCACCTCTTGTTCTTGTTCACTCTGGTTGCGAGCCCCTGGCCGCCTGCTGTCTCTGGATCACGGCAAGGAACGATCCCAGCTCAGGGTCTTTGAACCAGGCAGGCACTCTCATACTTCTCTGCTCTGCCTACTCCTGCACAATCTTATGTTTGCTCATACGTTGCCTTTGTGGCAGTGTTCTTCCTGAGCCCCTGTGTAACATCCCAAATATTCCACTCGAGCACTCCTATCACACTTTCCTTTCTCCGGCTTTCTCTGTAAGTCCACAGCATTAGCGCCTTGCGATAGTCTAAATGACTTACTCATCTGCTTACAACCCCAGATGGAAAACCCAGAAAATAAAGGCATGGATCATTTGTCTGCTTTCTGACATCTGTCATAGCACAACGTCTTGCCTACAGAAGGCACTCTGTATTTATCAAACAAATAAAGGAAACAGGAAATAAGGTGCTAAACTAATGAATCTGTTTCAAATACCTAATGTTCATCTTTTCAAATTCCCAGATTTAATTTTTAAAATTTCAGTATGTATATCTGTGTTTTCTTCACACACTAGAAAAATTTAAACTCTGTTATTATGTGCCAGCTACTTGGTTAAATATTTTTCATGGATATTCTCTTATAACAACCATGAGGTAATATTACTATTTCCAGTGAAGTTCCTGTTAGGTCAGTCGTTATCCTCACTTCTCTGATTTGGAAATCAGTGTAACTACAGTCTCTTATGTGAAGAAGCCATGGCTCAAATCAAGATGTGTCCAACTATAAAGTCCACATTCCCAATCAATTTCTACTCATCCAGTGGCATACCCACTATACTCAAGTTCTTTCTCACAGGTCAGATGTTCCTTTTTATTGAAATCATAAATATCTCTAGTAGCTTTCAAAATTTCCTTTTCTGCTATGACCTAAAAAGAACAAAAAACCAAGTCCCTTAAAGAAGGATCTTAATTTTACTCTTCAGTCAAAGTGGCTTGCAGCTGTAACACTTCCTGTTTGCTGCTTGCTGCTTTAACTCTAAGGATGTTTTCTGACTACTACAGAAAAGGTAGTTAAATAATCCACAAGGAGTGCCTACTTTTGTTGAATGGAAAGGAGGAATGCACAGAAATATACCCAAAACTCCAGAGACAGAAAAATTAGAGTATACCCATTGTTACTCTAGTCTATGTATTTATAATTGAACGGCTGAGAAGAAATAAATTCCTCTTTGATCAAAGGCTGTCTCTACTTAGTGAAATCCAGAGTCGTTTTTGCAAGACTTACAGAAATCAAGTGTTTTATCTGCGTTTCTTCTGACACACATTGGAAATCAGTTAATTGTGCAAAGTCTTTATGGCCCTTTTCCATCTCCACTGGGTACTGTTATTTCCTACTCTCATCAAGGTGTTTGCAACTAACAGACCTCCCACATTTAATGTGCTGGATGACTCGGGAACCCGATAAGAACAATTAATTT